TCTACTGAGGATTTCTCCACTGCTTTAGAAAACTTCAAGTCATCAGTGTCTGATGAGGAGCTCCTGCGATACAAAGACATTCAACAAAAACTCGCTGCAAAGTAGAAACACACAGACATCTGTTCGTCATGGGGCTGACAATAAAAGTGATTTGATTTGATTTTGATTTTTTGACAGATGTTCAACAGTTTCATTTAAATCACCTCAGAAACATCACTGCTGTACAATACTGCACGGCAATGTAAATCATGTAAACAGAAGTTGGTAATATATTTAATTAATAAAGACTAATGAAAAGTGGTTTGTCTGTCTCTGTGTTAGCCGTGTGACCCTGGACCGTCAGTCTGTCCCGGGTGTACCCGGCCTCTCGCAGCCTGTAGGCTCACTGTGACCCTGGACTGGGTGGATGAAAACTGGTGTAGAATTTCACTGTGGAGCTGCCATCATCATTTGTAATTGCCACATAAGCGGGGCGTCGGAAAGATCTGGAGTCGTGTTTCAGCACCTTCAGTAAATCTGAGCGGCAGCTTAATGCTGTTAAGGAAGATCTTTCTATTTCTGTGCTGGAGCCATGGTTCCACCTGCAACGCTCACCACACAGCCTGCTTTCCTTCTCGTCTCTGTCATGCATGTAAGCATGCATAGGTCAAAGTTACAGCCAGTGTTTTTCTACACGTAACTACCATGAACAAAGCTGATGATACCATAAACTCCCACAAAAGAAGAATCAGCAGCAGACACAATCTGTTGGACCCTTTTGTCAGCCATGTTAGTGATACTCATAGTTCCCCAAGTGCAACGTTATACTTTTACTTTAAACTTTATCCTTTTCTGGACAGGGAGGAACGCTGGTTTGAGGGCGGAGTCAAGGGAGGCCATTTACGTGAAAAGGGAAAGGCCATCTCTGAATCGAGGAGGGGCCTAAGGGTCCATCTGTCACCATCCTACAATGCTGTGATTGCAGTCATTCAACTCTGTGAATGAGACTCATGGCCGTTGATCAGTGAGCGTTGTTCAGTGGTCATGAGAATTTGCATATTAATGATCATAAACTGACCTCCCAGCCCATTGTTCCGTCAGTGCTGCTGGTTTCAGTCATTATGCAGATGTTTACAAGGTTGGAAACCTGCAGTCAGCTGAGACTGAAGACGTCAGTTGGATGAGTGACAAAACGTTTCTCCCACTAAAAACATCCAGATGAACAGAATTCATTTTTTGGGGCTGTTTATAATAGATGTAATTTATCCACTCCGGGTTTTTTATTGTTGGTATTACATGTCCAAAGAATAGAAGCCATGATGTGATCCTGCAACAATTTAATTGCATACTTTAAATTTTTCAGGGATCTCTGGGGTGTCTTTGTTTGAAATCATTAACAATAGCAGCCCGTCTGACAGCCTGGTGGAAGTGTTTCAACAAATGTGTCCTTAGAAGTCTATTTAGATGGTGCTATTTTGAACAATTCTGACTTTACAATTAACATGAAACCACTGTACTTGTGCATACGAGTTAGAAAAGGCATTCACAGTATGTACATCATGTAAGCATACTTCTTGCTTAGGTTATCTGCCTTAGATACCAAAATAGTATTTTAATTTACATCCAAGTCATAAAGAGAGAATATTTACAACTATAGAAGCAATTGAAACAATCACATAATCCGAAATAAGAAAGAAAGTGTACTTCATTGGTCCCCGTGGGGAAAATCCCTCTCTGCATTTAACCCATTCACTCAGTGAAGCAGTGGGCAGCCACTGGGCGCCCGGGGAGCAGTGTGTAGGGACGGTACCTTGCTCAGGGGTACCTCAGGGTAGCTGTTCAGGGGAATCGAACCCCCGACCTTCCGATCATGGGGCCACCACTCTACCTACTGAGCTATCCCTGCCCTAAGAAAACAAACAAAACCAACAAAAAAACAAACAAACCAAAAAAACAAAAACACAAAAAAACAAAAAACGGATGTGTTGGTAGGGGGTGATCCTATAAATATATACTCTCATACATCACAGTTATTGGTTTGTAAAAATAAAATCTGGCCTATGAGGCGTGATATATTTGACCCAGTTTTCCCAGTATGATGTAAATTTCTCCAGCTTGTGGTTAACAGAAGCTGTTATCTTTTCCATGTTATAGATTTCCATTGTGATTTCCATCCATGTACTTATGTTTGGGCTTTCCGGGGATAACCATTTTCTGGTGATACTCTTTTTACAGGCCACCAGTAAAATATTTACTAAATGTTTATCATATTTAGGCCATTCCTGAGGTATATATCCAAAGAACATAGTCTTACTCTCGAGGGGTATTTCACATTTAAAGATATCCTGTAAGGCCTTATGTATTTCTCTCCAGTAATCCCTCAAGATAGAGCAGTCCCAGAAAATGTGGTAGTGATTTGCACTTTGATTTCCACAGTTCCTCCAACAAGCAGGGGAATTATCATCATAATGAGACTTCTGAGAAGGTGTTATAAAGTATCTAATTAGGCACTTCCAGCCAAATTCCCTCCACTTTTGTGAGCTGGTACACATCCACTGATACCTCCATATTGCCGTCCATTCTTCCTCTAATATTTTTATCCCTCCTTCCTTCTCCCATTTTGTTCTAATATATGAAGTCGAATGTGGTTTCAAATCCATTAGACCCTTATACAGACATGATACAATTCTATCAATAGTTTCTGAGTTATAGCTTTTTATAAACACTTCCATCAAGCGTGTGTTTGTCATTGTTACGTTTCTCATCTTCGTGTCAGCATAGTGCCTTAACTGCAAATATCGATAGAAGTCTTGTTTTTCTAATGAAAATGTCTTTCTGAGCGTGTCGAAGCTGAACAATTTTCCATCTTTCATTATACTACACAGGGCTGTTATGCCCTTACCTGTCCAGTCCTTGAATCTAGAATCCAATTCATTAGGCTTGAACTCTGAGTCGTAAGCACACCATTTAAGAACTGTAATATTGGTCTCGAGTTTATATTCCTTTATAATAGTTTTCCATGTTTTAAGGGTCTTTTTCACCCACAGGTTATCAATGTTTTTTATATAGGTTTGTAAATTTTTGTCAGCTAGAGTTGCCTGAATAGGAATAGACAGCATTTGTTCCTCAATGGTTTTCCATTGGGCAGTGTATGATGGGTTACACCAGCATATTATTGCTCTCATCTGCGCTGCAAAATAGTAATATCTGAGGTCAGGGAGGCCCCATCCTCCCTCCACAGGCAACTTCAACATCCAATTACAAAAAAAAAGAAACATGGGAATCAGACCTATCACTCCATCACTACTAATGCCAACATCTGGAATGAGATTTGCAGAAGCATCTATTTCAAAACAAAATCTGCCAATTTACAGCTAATGCAATATTAAATATTCCACAAAACTCAGCTTTCTGGACAAACAACTTTAAATAGGAGTCACATCAGGATTGTTCACAAAATTAGGTAAATGGTTTTATGCAGCTCTGCTTTTACAGTTAAATCGACTTAAACTACAGTATAAAAGAGCCCTTGCACTGCAGTGGTGGTCTCTTTGATTGAAGCCCAAGTCAAACAAGCCCAGTATGCAGATGACATTGCTGTCTTCAGTAATAGATTAAAGTTTATTGTCATGTACACTGCAAAACACAAATGGTTACTCTGAGCAATGAAATTCTTACTTTGCGAGTTCCCAGGCAGGGGACAGAAGTAGTGGTTGTAGTGGTGGTTGAAATGAGCCTTCAGAAAACGAGGGAAACGACTGGCTCACCAGAGGAATGGGCGCAGGCATCTGCCAGGTGGCAGGAGTGTGATCTGTGTGCCGTGGGTGGGTGCGGTCCTTAATGATGTTGTGTGCCCCTTTTCCGACCTGGGTGATGTAAATTAGGGCTGCTCAATTAATCGAATTTTAATCACGATTACGATCTGGGCTTTCAACGATCATTAAAAATGACTGAGCCGATTATTAGCCCCTCCCTCATTTATCCGCGACACCTTAAAGGCCGGTCCGTGAAAATATTGTCGGGCATAAACCAGTCCGTGGCGCAAAAAAGGTTGGAGACCGCTGATTAAGAGGACCCGAGGGAAGCTCGGAAAGCTAAGCAGAAGTTATTTGGAGAGTGACTGCCGTTGGTTGAAAAGAGTTAAAAAAAAAAAAAACTTCAGTGGTGTTGCACACTATTTTATATTATTTTTTTTAAAGTCATTGTTAACTCTTTAAACCCGGTCAGAGCAGCGCGCTCCGTTTTGCGTAACTATTTTTAAATCCCTGTAGAACCTGAACCGTGTAAGCTAGCGCAATAATTTGTTTTGCATATGAAACCGGAGGAGTTGTACTTACATCTGATGCCATCAGCTTGTCCTCGGTCACGGTTTCGTTCCACATATAGCTTTGCAAAAATTGCATAAAAAGCGCTTGCAGGAACAAAAACATAATATTCCAGAAACACGCTTTGCCGTTCCTATCAGCTGTTCGTAACACTTCCCACAGTGAAATGATGCACATGCTGTTTTCTTTGCAAATTTGCATCATAGGATTGTTTTTTGTTTTTCCTGCAATATATAAAAATTGCTGTATCTCCAAAATAAAACTATGAAGACACTCAAAATAAATTTCCTGTGGTGGGAAACTATTTTTTGCAACTTTGTTGTATTTAAAGTTTTGAGGGATAAACCTCTTAAACTTCTCCAAGTAGAAATATATGTAAACAAAACAAAAGCGATTTTCAATTTTTTTTGTAGTTTATTGCACTTTTTTGCAATTTATGTAATTACTATGGACTTAATGCATACATATTATTAAAATATGGGCTATAACAGTTGTATTGATGTATAGCAACTTGAAATGCTCCCACAAATGGCACTACAGCATGTAAAAAAAATAATATAAGCTCTGGTGGACTTGGTTCTATACTAGGTCTTAAAGGGTTAAATAAATATCGTCAAATAATCGTGATCTCAATTTCAGTGAAAATAATCGTGATTATCATTTTTGCCATAATCGAGCAGCCCTAATGTAAATCTCCTGTAGTGGTGGGAGGGGTACTCCACAGGCAAACTGTGCCGTTGGAATTACCACACTGTGATGGAGTTTGTCAGGACACTCTTTGTTGTGCAGGCTGCTAAGAAGTTTGGAGGTTAATTGAAATTTTCTCAGCTTCCTTAGTAAGAAGAGGTTTCAAGATTGAAACCATCATGAATTGAACACACCTGCAAAGCAGGTTGCTGAATTTAGATGCGTGAGTGTCATTAAATACCTGTGCCTGTGAAAGAAGTTAGTTGCACATGATTATGTTCTTTCTAGCACATGGCTTTGGAAATAAATATAATTCCATATTTTAGTTATAAAAAGGGGGTTGTCATAGTTTACATCAACCAGGTAACCAAAACACTGAAGACGACCTCAGAATCTGGAGCTTTTTCCTATAAGAGATCTGGAAGTGAGAAAAGGCAATAAATAGACATTTTCACATAATAAATCTGCAACAGTAGGGCTGATGAGAAATAGAAATCTATTTTAATATTTGATATCTGGCAAATAGGTCTTTAAATTAGTTGGTGTTGATGCTTCTTATCACCATGGGCCTTTGGAGAAAAAGCCCATGGACGGTGTCTGCTCATTATACTGGAGTGCTTTTGAAGAGAGGTATTTTGAATATAACTTTGTAAGGTGTAGTCACTTATGTACTCATCAGTAAAAAAGCTGTCTTTGTGCCATCTGAATTTCATGTTAATTCCAGACAGAGGAGGATTTTTTTAAAGGTTTATTTGAAGATCATCACACACTGACAGTGTTTTTTTTTTTTACATCGGAGTTTCAGTGGTAGAGCACAGAGACAACTATGAAAAAGGCAAATGTATTGATTTATTTATTGATTTGGTGTCGATAAAGTAACTATCTAAACTCTGTAACATTAAAAACAGAATCTTCTCCTTCACTCATGCATCGTTTCACTATAAAACAGTCACATCACATAAATCCTGCTGAGGGGAGATTACAAGTGCAGTCTCTTCAGAATCTTCATCTTTATTTCCACCACTCATTCCTTCTGAATGACTTTGACCTTCATCACTTGAGGTACTCGTTTCATCCTCATCCTTGTCCTTGCTCTGGTTCCCCTCCTCTTCATTCTGTCTGTTTAGTGCCCTCTCCCTCAGATCATCCCCCTCCAAACTTGAGCAGTCATCCGAAGTGTCGCTGTCTTCCTCCTTGTGTTCTCCTTTTTCCTCGTTGCTTAGTTCATTGTTAGCTCCTTCTCCACCCCTCCACACCTCTAACTCATCTGCCTGTCCTCCTTCTGTGTCCTCCATGGCATCCTCCTCCATGGCATCCTCTGCTGGTCTCTTGTCCCCTGGCCAAAGCTGAACACCCAGGTGGTCCTCCAGGTTCCTGATCCAGGTTCTCAGCCTCTCCCTCACATCTAATAGGAACCTGGGCACAGAGCCGCTATGGTCGGACTGCTGGCACACGTGATGGAGATATGCCACAAGCACCATCAAAACCATGATGACCAACAGAATGACAATAAGCCAAATCTTCACTGCCTTTTCGGTTGTGGAGGGTGAGGAAGTTGTGCGAGATAGAGCTGTATTTGTTGTATCTGATGGAACAACGGTTGTAACTGAATTGGATGTTGGGGAGGATGTTGTTGTGCTGTTTGTAGCTCCAGAGGGAGAGTGTGAATAGCCTAAAGTTTGAGTAGATGTCGTATTGTTCTCTAGAGTATAGTTTTGAGTGCCGGTAGCAAAAGATACGGGAATCAAGAGTATCAGTATAAACACTGACATAAGAAGGATGGCTTTGGTCCTCATGGTGACTCTGTAGATCACTAAAAAGACAAAAAGCAGAAACTGCAGTTAAAATGATGTGAATCACAAGAAATGACCTCAGTAGCTCTAAACCCAATGAACAACCTGTGAACAGATTTGTCAGGTAATGTTTCTTTAAACACTAAATGATTATTCAGTTTTGTTTATATAGCACCAAACCACAACAACAGTTGCCTCAAGGCGCTTAATATTGTAAGGTAAAGACCCTACAATAATACAGAAAGCCCAACAATGACACTTTGGGAATGAAAAACTCCCTTTGAACAGTCAGAAACATCTGGCAGAACCAGGTGACCAGTAGGGGCTGTGGGGAGGGAGATGGTCAACAGTGGGTGCCTCCCCTACTAAAGAAGCATGCCGTGGTGGAGAGCTGGAAAAAGAAGCAGCAGCAACAACAGGTAGACACTACAAAGGCACACACAGGAAGACGTGTATGTAAATACATAAACCCCACATTGTTTGCAATAAACAATTTCTGTAAATGTGCAGATGTGATTGTTTGCCAGCAACTTTCCTCTCTATTTGGAACTGTATACAGTAGATACAGCAGTGACTGTACTCTATAGCTCCATCCAGCAGGTAAATAGTTACATATTGTTAATGCACATATTTGAAATGTTTTAAAGAACTTCAATAACTCAATAGACTCAAGACATTTGCCTGAATATTTAAAAAAATGATTTATAATGTGATGGTTTATTTTCATTCTTCCATGATATGACCTTAGTGTCTCCTCACTGTGCAGCTGGTCTTTTTCCCTGCTACTTATCTCTTCTCCTGCATATTGCATTACCATTCTGGACATGTGTCTGTCTCGTGGTTACAGCGTCACCAGTTTGCTCTGGTTTTTCAGAGGTTTTTCTTTCCCACGTTACTGAGTGCTTGCTAAGAGGGGACCTTTGCATTACACTGTATACAACAGATGCATAGAGTCTGACAGATTGGAGATGAAACTACTTTAGCAGAGGTACAAAGGTGAAGAAGAAGAAGCAAGAAATCTGCTATATTTAACATCATAAATGATAAACACACTGTACAGTTACAGCAGCTGTGATTAAGCTAGAAGCCAGGCAAACAGGTTTTTCACTTGCATTTTATTTAGAATTGAACTAGAATTGACATTATTAACATCATATTTTATAAACTGATATCTGAAAAAAATGTTCAGCTATGATTATGAGACACACCTGTGTGAAGTGACAATCAGTCATGCTTGTATTAGTTACAGGAAGTATGCTGTCATAAGAGTTTTAGTTGCTTTTAGGATCATTAAAAATACAAGACTGACTGATGAAAAGCACACAGACACTCGCTGAAAACTTCACGAGGTACACCTGGTCAGCTGCTTGTTAATGCAAATCAGCAAATCACATGGCAGCAACTAAATGCATGTAGGAATGCAGTCATGGTCGAGATGACATCAGAACGGCGAAGAAAGGTGATTTAAGTGAATCTGGTTGTACTGAGTATTTCAGTAACTGCTGATCTACTGGGATTTTCCCCATATAACCATGTCTACAGTCTACAAAGAAACTGGTCAGAAATAGAGCAGCAGAGGCTCCCTGTGTGAGAACGCCTTGTTGATGCCAGAGGTCAGAATGGCCAGGCTGTTTTGAGCAGACAGGAAGACAACTGTAATAACCTTTCTCTATTTGTGTTATGTACTCTTCGTTGTGCATTTCAAAAAGAGCACCTTGGCATGCTAACACATGAAACTTTAAGCAGATGGACAACAGAAAACCACACTGGCTTCCACTCCTGTTAGCAAAGAACAGGAAACTGAGTCTACAGTTTTTGTGAAGCCATGAAAACCGTTTGCACAGAACACTCCACTAATAACGAGAATGCCAAATGTTAAAGTAAAAAGGTTATATTTGCCCTGTTCACTGACTCACACTCGTTCAGGCTCAGGATGTGGTTAGTTCTGTGCACTCTGCATCTGTGTTTCACTGAAAAAACAGGAAATCGATTTTGCACCTATCTGCAACTTTGCAACAGCAACTGCAGTAATCAGGTGGTTTTCTAACTGGCACCTGTGAATTCTGACTGTTCTATACACAGGACTAATTGTTCTTTTCACTGACAACAAAGTGAGTTTCACTGCTTCAGTCCACTTCAGATCACTGAGATCTGCACGTGGCCCACCATGTTAAATATTTATAGTGCGGTCACTGTAATGAAGCTTTCATTGCAGTGACCACATTAGAGTTCCTCATGAATAATGACAGCTGCTGAACTCTTATGAATCTCTGTAAAAGGAAACTCAGTTTCAGTTTAGTTAAATCATCCCAGGACTGAAGCTGATTCTAGCCACATGTTACATATTTTATTACCTTCAATTCAGATAGATTTCTCTCATACTGTAACACAGGAAACGTTTGTTCTTTGAGAATGAAGAACATTTACAACAGGTAGGCAGAAGACAAGGAGGTGAATAAATATGTCCAATAAAGAAATGAGTTAAAATAAATGGGAAACTCTATAATATCAGAAAGATACAATATTAAAAAGTAACAAACCAAACTAAAAACTGCAAGTATTTACTTACTCAGTAAATGAACAATTCAGTGAAGTAATGCCAAGCTCCCAAGAAAGACAGGATGTGAAGGAGGCAAAGTTATAGCTACGTATGTGAGAAGACTTAGAGAAGGGAAAGAAAGCAGACACTGAGGGTGGGTGGGGGAACAACAAAGATGAAGGCTTCAGAAAATAGGTTACCACATGCTCTCATCTCACAGGTCTCATGCAGTCATTTGTCTAACTTTCCTTTTCTAGCATTCAAATGCAGCAGATATAAAATGCTAAAGACAGAAATTAAAGCTGCAAACAGAGAGGGCAGATGACCTGTGCTACAGCTTGAGCGAGCTGTTGGTGATTATACCCTCGCAGTCGTTCCTTTAAAGCATGTGAAGTTTAGGACAGATTACATGATGTACAACTGTGAAATACAATGTGATGTCCTAGAATAAAACAGCCCTACACGTCATGTTAATGTCCTAACACAGGGGTCAGCAACCTTTAACACCCAAAGAGCCGTTTGGACCCAGTTTCCACAGAAAAGAAAACACTGGGAGCAGCAAATACTTTTCGACATCTAAAATGAAGATAACACTGTTATTGTTTTTTACCTTTACGCTTTGTATAAACAACTAAATTGTGTTGCTTATGAAATCCATGAAGTGCTACAGAGAAAATTAAATTTTATTTATGTAATGAACACATTTTGAACTCTTAAAAAATATAACAAAAAGGAGATACACCCAGGTGAAGGTCTCTTTTAAATGAATTAAAAAGCTGAACTTAAATTATTCATATAGCAAACAAAAACTGTAGTGAGCCGTCATCCTTATATCACCTTTGGGATTTTGCAGCCTGTAGCGGAGCTTTGACCTGAATTTTAAAAATAATTGGAAAAAATCAACTGCTAAAAAAATGAAAAATAAATATTTGCAAAATATCTGGATAAATATTTATTTTACATGGTTAATGTGTGTGCCGCAGTGTGGTCTGCAGTGCCGCTGCAGGGGAGGCACCTGAGCGGCATCCTGTCAGTCTGTGCTAGGGCTGCTCGATTATGGCAAAAATGATAATCACGATTATTTTCACTGAAATTGAGATCACGATTATTTGACGATATTTATTTAACCCTTTAAGACCTAGTATAGAACCAAGTCCACCAGAGCTTATATTATTTTTTTTACATGCTGTAGTGCCATTTGTGGGAGCATTTCAAGTTGCTATACATCAATACAACTGTTATAGCCCATATTTTAATAATATGTATGCATTAAGTCCATAGTAATTACATAAATTGCAAAAAAGTGCAATAAACTACAAAAAAAATTGAAAATCGCTTTTGTTTTGTTTACATATATTTCTACTTGGAGAAGTTTAAGAGGTTTATCCCTCAAAACTTTAAATACAACAAAGTTGCAAAAAATAGTTTCCCACCACAGGAAATTTATTTTGAGTGTCTTCATAGTTTTATTTTGGAGATACAGCAATTTTTATATA